AAAATCAAGAAGCCAGGTTGGCAGTCACCCTGTCAGTTCCAAGTTTATTATTTGTGAACCAACATTTATTCTTTGGCACCACAACTGTATAGCATTGGCAGACATGGTTCGTCATTCCATTTTACTTTGTCTTTGTTTCCATACAAGACAAATGCAATCACTGATGGAGTAAAGCGAACAAGGTGGGCAAGAAATTAATCAGGGTAATTGACGTGCTAATTCTTTTATTGATGGACTGGGGTAACTTGGCCTTTTTAACCTACCATCTATGAACGTTAAAATTAGCCGTACTCTGAATTTCTACATCGAATCCAGAAACTTGTGTTGAAGTTTATAAACTTCATGTGCTATTGTTATTGTTTAAGCATTGTCTAATTCGCTGAAAAATACCCTATTCTTATCCATTTAAAAAGGTTGGGCTGGAAACTTCGATGGACTGGAAATTATGATTTTGCATTCATCTGAGGGAGCATGGCTGGGCAAGAATCAAGGTCATAAACTGGAAATAATGAAATTGGAACACCATACCTTAACCTAAAGCATTTGTTATGTACTTGTCTTTCATAAACCTTTGAAAGGATACCTACTACATGTTCATATCTATCCGTCAAAATTTGTTTACGGCTTTATAAAAATTCAAATTTTCAAACATATCTATTTTGATATTTTTACAGACTTTCCAGTACATGTTAGCAAGAGTTGATTCCAGTGGAGCTGAGGCAACGTGAAGACTTGACTACATTTTCATACTGCTTACGACTCATCATTAAAGCAGACAAAGACAACTGGCTCGGGTGTATATGCACAGAAAGCATAGCACAAAGCTGCAGATTGCGGAAGCAATTTTGTATAATGATTCAAGCTAAAAGTGAACACTCTCAAGTCTTCACATATGATCATTCTCATTGCATCGGACAGCAGCTGTATGTAATTTCACCTTCGAGCAGGGCCTGTCTACAGAAGATGAGGTCTCGTAATAACAAGAACATCGACAGTGCCGAGCAACAAGTGCTGTCCTGATCTCTTCTGGTGGAATTTATTCTGCATACTTATTATAATCGGCATACAATTGGAAATCGTAGGGAACAGTGGTGTTCTTTTTTTTCAAAAGTTATTGACTTTGGAAGTGCTGCCAATTTATTACTTTTTTTTTTAGACCAGCTTGAAATTGAGAATGAAGTTTTTTATTTTGTTGGCACTACACAATTAACTTTGGTGCATTTTTTCATCAGTGAATGTTCATCATATCTCAAAACGAGAGAGTGTCATGCGAACTCTCACAAGGATTATAACCACATTCACACTCTGAGTTCTCACGGACTGAAAGTACTGTATCAAAGTGTTTATAGAATTTGATTTGAGATGTCTGCAGCCATGCAGAACAATCGCCCAAGAAACCGAAAGCAGCCACACCCGCACAGCAACAGGTAAAGGAACTTATTTTGTACATGTTGGGAATGTCGTTGAAGGAAAATGTGCTGAAAGAAGCCAGCGAGAGACAGTCATTTCTCTAATTATAAAAAATTAGGAAGGGCCAAATGCAGCTTTGATAGCAAGTAAATTTTTACTTTTTCGTCCTTTCCAAAGTTGGAGGATGCTAAAAAGAATAATTTGTTTGTTCTTAGGGAAGTTTCTTGTTTTAAATAGTTTTTCCTAAACTGGTTTTCAAATTTTTCAGCATGTTTGAATTTTGACTGGAGGTATTTTGGGCTTCTATGTTTACTAATACCATATGAATTTTTGTTTCTACTTTCAGGGCAGGATACAATAACTATGCTCGAAGAGAAACGCCCGAACCAGAGGTAATACAGTGTTTGTTTTGGAGATACTTATAATTTGAATATCTCACAGAAAAGTGGCTTTCGGACTGGCAACCGTTATTTCGTGGGTGTGAATCCTGCCAGAATAGTCAGATGGATGTGTGGGTGTAGCGCTGAGTCGCATTTTCTGTAATTGCAGTTACAGATGGTGTAAGGGTGTGGCTCTTACCCATTGCGCAGAGGAATGGGGTTTTTGACCCATCTGCATAAAAGGGATGCTGTATCTATCTGCCCAGCCAGGTTGGTCCTGACAGGCAGGGTTAAAACGTTCTGTATGATGTAATGTTGATCGGGGATGTAAAACATTACCAATCAATTAGTGGTTTTCTAGTGACAAGTGGCAGACAGGTTTGTTTTGTTTTTTTGTTGGTTGTTTTTTTTTTTTTTTTTTTTCAAGCTTTGTTTTGTTGGGGGGTGGGCTTATGATACAGTTTTTCTTGTTTGCCAAAAGCAATGTCAAATATTGTCTGATATGTTTTGGATAGGCGAACATGTTTGTAAAGGTAGACCTCAAGATATAATTATGGTTTGAAAATGTTTTCCTTTTGTTTCTTTCTCTGTGCTTTAGCCACAGAGTTCATCCCCTGTGAGAGGAGTCTACCGCGACTCGCGAACTGCCATGGTCATGTGTAGCATTTTAGTAAGTGCAGTACGAATGAGTCTGATTGAGTACTTACTCAAAGGAACATAAAAAAGTCATGTTTATTGTCACCTTTTCCTTTTTGCTAAACTGTCTGCATTTTCACGTCACCTGTTTTCTTCTGTTTTTGGGTTGCTTTGGGTACTTTTCTTTCACTCTTTTCGTTTCTTGTTTCTGCTTGTCGTACATTTTTTTCTGTGCTCTAAACGACTATGAACTTGTTAATAAGCTTCTCTTTTCTAAGATTAAGACTACTACCTGCTACTGTGTTCTGTTCCTTTCGTAATTTTCTCAGAAGTGTTGTTGGTGTGAAAATTTGTCTTTTATGACTTGTTACTGTACTGGTGTTCAGTGTTCCGTATTTTACTCAAATGGTAAATTTATCAGTGGTTCTATCAAAGTCCAATGTAAGGTGCATTAATAATTTGTTGATACGGTTGGACCAGAAACAAAGCCTCATGGCATATGCTTGTTATTAATTTTACTCCTACCTTTTTGTCATTACATTTTACAACTGTGAACATATATTTTTATGTTGCAAGACCTGCAGGTATATTTAAGCACAATTTTATTTCAACACTTCAGCAGCCTTACACAGGGGATTGTTGATGGGTGCTCTGTGTGGTTAGCTCCTTGTTTCTAGCAAACATCTATTGGTGGGTGGTTGGCGGGTGTCCTGGTGTGGTTTGCTCCTTCTTTTCTATCACACATCTATCATCCTGATTTACCTTCTTCTTTTTAATTGTTTGTTACTCTTTTGTAACACTCTGTTCCTCGGCACGTATATGACCTCATTGTGTTGCAAGTACCTAAAACTCTACTAAAACTAAAAACATCTATTGTCCCTATCTTTCTTCCTTCTTTTCTTTGTATGTTACTTTACTCTCTAGTTACATCACCAACCTTCAGAAAACTCTTAATGCAGCTAACTTCAGCAGCCTTGGACTGTACATTGTAGCCCCTTGTTTGAAAAAAAAAACCCCACAGCTATCAATGCTGTGCATTCACTAATTGTGTTAGGCAGAAATGATCAACAATCATCATAAATTTTTTTCCAAACTATGACACACCACAGTAATTACAGTTCTGTACAGTATCAGGTGGTGGGGATTTGTGATCCTATTGGGACAGGTAGTGTTCAGCTGCTCGTACCTCACATCAGCAAGCAGGACTGCAAACAAAAGGCCGCTCCACCTTATGTTCGTTGTCAGCTAGCGGTGTTTTGTATTATTTGTAGCTCTGTTTTACCCAACACTCTTTTTTAAATTTTTTTAAATTGCTGCCGACTTATATTAGTCAACAAGTAACAGGTTGTGTATAATAAATAGAGACCTTTTTTCCCTTGTTTAATCTTTTTTAACTTACCTATTTCCACTAATTTGTATTCAGTTCTGGGTAAAAGATGCAACAAAATATATACATGTATATGTGTGTGTGTGTTCTCAGGGTACACAGACAACAGTGAAAACTAGAAATGGTTCAGTATACAAGGGCCACACAACAGGATTCTCAGATAAGGTGAGCCTGAATATAAATTACTTTTTTTCTCTTTTTTTTTTTACTTTAATTTATGTCACTTACCGAAAAACCCTGCTTTTTTTGTATTTGAACATTTCAATTTCGAAAAAAAAAAATCATTTGATGTCCGTGGTGTAACAGTTAGGCACTGCGCTTTGCTTGTAAAATTTGTGAATTCATGACAAGGGGGGGTATTTTTTTAGTTTAGTGTTTTGTTAAGATCTGTGACATCGCCATGGGGATATTCCGGGGCGAGCTTATCTCGCCTCAGGTTGTTCGTGTCTCAACGGGACAAAAAGAATTTTAAATTGTATGGCATGTTGGATTGAATTGAATTAACTTATGTTTTAAGGTTGGCATGGTCTAAAGTCATCAAAGAAAGCTTTGCCATTATTTACCCGCGCTGTCAATTTATTCTTAAAGATCCCATGTTGTGATATGGTGCTATAATTTATAAAATGCTCCTGTCCCGACACCCCTATTTTGCAAAATCATAACATGTACACCAAAATATTAATTATGACAAAATAATTATGAAATGGTTAGTAAATCTGGCTGCAGAAATGATTTTTCCACCCAAAAACACATTGGGTAGCCCAGTTTCTTTCCAACGCTCCGATTAATTACTGAGGTACTGTGGATTTTTACAGAATCTGCTTTTGCTTGGCCTACTTTCAGTAGTATTTTTCTTATATTTGTGGGTCATCCATATTTTGCCGACCTTTACTACCCCATAACTTTTTTTATTTATGAACCGATTCTTAAAATTCAAGAAGCATAATTCTTAGACTTGAAAATTCTTTCTTAGGTACCAAATAAAAAAGGGATAAAGCTAAAAAAAATTAAAATTTTCTTTGGCATTGCTATATAAAGAAAGAAAATGTAAAGGGAATAATAGCAAACTACTTGTAATGGTCACAATTATCACAACTTGCCAAACAGCTGTTTCCCCATCAAGAAGGTCATAAAATTAAGTGATCTTGCTAGTAAAATTTGAGGGTTTTTAGTAATGAAAATAACTGAAAATCTAAGTTTTTAATTAATTTAGCTGTAAGAAAAATATTTTGTAGGAGGCCTCTTTCTGCAAATGATAGGGGGGGGGGGGGAGGTGTTTTGCATATTTTTTAGGTCCACATTGTGTTCACACATGTAAACAATTGTTGTAACTGGTTGTAAGTGAACATTTGATTTTTATTTGCTTAGTTAATTAATAATTAACCCATGAATGTAAAATTTCCTTACTGTACTTTCATTTACAAGGTAACATTGTGATGAATGTTCCCCAATTTTTGTTTTCAACCCCATTACATAAATTCTGTATGGTTTAAAGTATTCTGTAAAATTTGAAATTACTGAGGTAATATTGCGCTTGAGTGCAAAATTTCATTTCTTTAAATACAGGATGATGTTGTGATTACATTTATCTTTTTCAACTATTTTTCTAAAACTGCCCCTAAATATTAAGTCCTCTTACATTTCTTTTGTTTACAGGGCGATATTGCAATGAGTGATGTGAAGTTATTGGAAAGCGAGTCTCATGGGCAGGATCAAAATTTATCTGGTATCATTATACCCAAGGACAACTTTGTCGTGTGCAAAACCAACGGTGTGGACATAAAGGGGCTGTGTGCAAGTGAGTGTTGACTGCCTGCTCTTGAGGGGCCTGGGGGTATAATTCTGTTCCTTAACTCATTCGCTACGCCGAGCCGTGGGGGGCGGCGCGGCTAAAGCGCCGTCAGTATGCTAAGCCGCACCCCCGGCGGCTCGAGGATCGATCTTCAATTTTAGCTTAGATTCTATTCCAATCCACATATCCATGTTAAAGTGGCATTTTTGTGTAATTTCATCAAAAAGTAGTGATTTTGGGGAGAAAAAAACATTTTGACAATTTAGATCTAGACCTAGATCCGGCACTCGAAAATATTGATTTCTCAATAACATGTCCACCCGCAACTTCCTACTTCCATTCTGTGCCTGGCTCTAGTTTGTTTCAACTTATTTACAGTGGAGTGACAGTGTCGATCGAGCATCGGGATGTTGCCGAGTTGTCATTGAAAACGGCAGAAATTCAAGAGAAATTGGTGCAGAATTCAAAATTAAATAGAATACAAGTCGAAAGTGAACAGCACGAATTCAGTAGCACTGAATTTTTAGGAACCAAAGCGAGTCAAATGCTTGTTAGTAATGTTTTGGAGGGGGTTTTTTTCAAATACATTTTAATTCAGTATGTGTTTAACAAGTCTGTATGACACTTTTCCCTTCCAAAAACATAGATGTTCCAAGAGCATGCCTTTGTATCTCTCTGGTTTTACTCCGGCCTTCGGAGAGCACGCGTACGCCTTTGGGTGAAATTCCTGAGTGGCAGCTATGATTATTGAGGATTGCCGAAATGATGATGATGGCTTTGGGGGGTGGATGAAACAATGTAAAAATCCTATCTATATATTGGAAGAGAAAAGGGGTTTGGGCTGGAGAGCTAGGATCATATCATTTACAGGGGTCATGTTTTGTCCACTCCCTGAACAAATAGATATTTATGGGTTCTCATGACTGCTTGAAAGAGCTTCCTGGAAATTGAGGCCATGAAAGTTTGTATTTGCTGTTAAAATCTTGTGGACTTTAAGTGAACATTCAGTGTTAATGTGCTTTTTCTAACCTTAAAACAGAGACAAATAGAAGTAGAGACACATCACTCCTCTACTCAGGCGAGATTGGGGTTATGCGTTTGGTGAAAGTTTCACGCTGGACAACTATAGTCTGTTTCTCTCAACCAATGAATCACCGTATTGTTGTCATAGTAAATTAAGTAAGGGGATTGGTCTGAATGGGTTTTAAACACCATTTCTCTTTCTGTACCCCGTCACTGTCGTCATACCCACATCCACACATGAAAAATGGAGTCAGAACATTCTAGTCAATATTTTGATAAAAAATTCAAAGCATATCGTACTTCAACGTGACGTAATGCTATAGGAAGTGCTCACTGAAGTTCCTGCGCATTAACCTCTTCACTGCCATCAGACTTCATCATTTTTTTATGTGCCTCAACCAAGACTCAGACTCTGGTGGCTACAAATTGGCTGCGAGGGGGAAAGCTTCAACCTTCGCGCATGCAAAAGGCAAAATAAAACCAAGTCTTCTCTTATTTTGTTTTATCAAATTATCAAATTAATGTTATATTACTACTGTCAAAGTTTCAGTCATGTTTCGTCTCGGTCAGTATAATTATTAGCCTGTCTTTCTTATTCCTGGCCTCCATCTCTTCTTTATTCCTCCTCCTTCCTTAGAGCATAAATTTTGATTAATTATGCACGCATTGATCAACTTCACCGCATATCAGTACTTCCGACAGATGAACTGAGATGACTCCTTGCTCCTCCCTCTGTCCCCGGTATTAACTATAGGAAATAATAAGGGGAAGTGACTTCGAGAGAAACAGACCATGAAATGTACGACGCGTAACAGTTTCAAGGCACTGGGTCACTGATCTTGCGCGAATAATATGTGCGAATAGGGGCCAGCTGTCGAGTGAAATATCTCTCACTAGTCATCTCCGCCTTAAATCACTAAAGTAACTGAGAGCTCATATAACCGTATGCAGTTGCGAGCGCAGTAAAACCTCTACTAAAACAAAACAAAGTAACTGCTTAAAATCCACAAGAGTCATTTGCTCATTAAAGTAACTGTTACACACACTGTGCTGTTGTAATATAGGACCTTTCCGTCGTCGTCTGTATTCAGGCCAAGACTTTACAGACGCTGGGATTGCCAGCAAGATCAACGGCAGCGCGGACACAGCTCTGAGAGAGTTGCAACCATGGCAGGACGACGACGCCCTAGAAGTGAATTCCGCTCTGACCTTGGATGATCAGGTTAGTTTTTGAAGGATTTTGTGTGGGTGGTTGGCGGGTACTCTTGTGCGGTTTGCTCCTACACGTTAGTAACAACTCATAAATAAAACTTAAGATGAGACTAGATTTTTTAATGGTTTTATTTCATGTTGTAGTCTCCCTGTTTTCATCTACAGTGTAATAGTTGCACTCTTTGTTGGCCCCCCGGGGCAGTGCCACTGACTGTAGTGTCTTTAGGCCATTCCCAAAGGGGGGACATTTCTCGTTCAAGCATAGTAGAATTGTAAATGGGCTGACTCATCATGTCACGCTCATAACTGTGCCTGATGTACAACAGGGACCTGCTGCTTTTTCTTTCCTAATCCTTACTATTGTCATTTCCTCTACTTCTTTTGTATGTTTGTCACTCTCCTGTGACCCGCTATTTCCGGGGTGCCTTGATAGTCGAAGCAGATCTTGTGCTGGTGAAGCTAGAATTAAGTTTGAGAAAAAAGGTTTGTGTTTTTAATGGAAATAGATTGGAGGGGTTTTGCGTGCATGTTAGCTAGCATTTGATCTTCAAATCAGTGTGTTGAATTTTTCCTGAAGGGATTAGACAATTTCTCATGCATTTTTTCCTGAGGTTGCATTCAAGTTTGAAAAAATCTGTGAAAATCCACACTCAAGACACCAGCAACGAAAATCTGTTCCATTTATAAAAAATTCAAGAGACAAATTTTTTGCAATACACCTTCTCTTCATTCTGTAAAACTTTTCATGAAGTTGGGATGAAAAATGGTGGAGTTATTCAGAAAAGTATGTAGAAAAACTTCGTTTTGAGAAGACTGGAGAAAAGTAAAAAAAATATTGATTTTATGAGGAAATGGTGGTGATAAACATGCCTGGTATGGGAAGAAAAATGGCTTTAGGGAGTTCTAATGCAGTGAAATAGTTGTAAAAGAGGCTGAAGAAGCTAAAAATGCCTACAACTCGAAATCCTTAATTTTGAGCCGAATCGGGACTTTTTGGGTGTACTGGAGGTTCAATTGTGAAACAAAACTTTTCTCATGAAAATTTTGCGTTCTGGCCTTAAAACAATAATTGAAAGCTTACAGACTGAATTTTCCATTTGCATGAATACTCATTGACAGTGGCTTACATGATTTACTTGCCTGTGTGTAACATGATTGGCTTTGAAACAGAATACTGCTGAACTTGTTGAAACTCTATGATGCACCAAAAATTTTCCAGCAAGTTGTTTTAGGTTTTTCTTTCTGCTCACTGTTGAATAAGTTCACTAAGATGCTGGAGGACGCCACTTGGAAGTCCTGGTTCCTTTTTCCTTTATATTTTTTTCCCTCTTCCTTCCTTGTTGTTTTTATCAATCGTACTTTTTTTGTGCATTAATTGGCTGTCATTTTGTTGATGTACCCCTCTTTACCCAAACAAATGGACCCTTCCTAAGATTTTTTTTCATTTTGCTCTCACCCATGTTGCACAGTCTTACTATTATACATGTGCGTTATTCTTTACTGATTGTTCCTTTTCTCTCATCACTTTCCAGTCAGGAGGCTGGGAGCCCTCTGAGATGTTCCAAGTCAACTCTGAAAAATTTAATGTGAAGTCATCCTACGATGAAAGTTTGTTAGCCTATACGTAAGTATAAATGGTAGCAGCCATATGTAAAATTTCTGTTTTTATTTATTTATTCATTATTTTACCTCTTGTTTATGATTAGCCCATAGTAGAAACAAATATAATTAAATGTTAATACAGATGGAAAGAAAAAGACATGTGGAGAAAGAAACAGTAAAACAGGTAGGGTATTTTAGAACAGGAGAAGATGGGGGGAAGAATGAAAGACGTGGGTTTTGTCACTTGTAAGAAAAGACAATATGCATAGCGTACCCTAATATATATTTCATTAGTGTATTATGTTCTGTTGCTAAGATACAGGCAATGGCCGGGGCCAGTAACACATTTTTTGTCTATGATGTAATATTTTCTAAACTTCCCCTATCATCTTTATCTTCCCTCCTTTCTTTGTTACTTTCTAGTAACACCACAAATCTCATATGACAGATTTCTGTTGAAAGTGCTGTAAAACTCTTACTAAAACAAGAGCCAACCTTTTGCCCACAGCACACAGTTACCTGCTCCTGACTCAGAAGGGTATGAGGAGCGAGCCCGCTTTGCTCAGAAGAAGGCGGAGGAGATTGAGAAAAGCGATGCATATCAGCACCGCATCTCCAAGGAGTTGTCGGATGGCGATGAAGAAGCGAAGTATTCTTCTGTTCACCGGGGAGGGGACGGCAGCCACACCCAACACAGGGCACACGATTCTGGCAGTGGAGGGGGAGGGAAAAATACGTGAGTGCCTTATCACCTTGATATTTTTCAGAGCTGCATTTCTTTGATGACTGCAAAGTGTGGCTTTGGAGGAAAAAAAAGCTCTCCTTTTGAATGAGTATTGCTCTACAATTTTGAAGGTTTTCACTTTTGAGTGAAGGATTGCTTTATAATATGTTAGTTTTGGTTTTGATTGGGTGAGGGTGTTAAAAAAAATTCTGTGTTGCTTAATTCTATCTCG